CTATTTTCACAAAGTCTTTCATGAGGTTTCATTCAAATCTACCTCACTTTTTTTTAGGGATTTGTGCTTACTTTCAAGAAATTTCAGACTGTTGTCAGAGTGTGCTTTGTTTAAAAATCTTCAATGGCACATGTATTGATCTGTTATCTAAATCAAAGTCTAACACATGCATGAATACAATCATCTAGTGATTTTCCCGGGTAGTATAGTAAATTAAAAACAAATCTTTGGGTATATTGAATTTCTTTATTTAACACATAAAATGGAGCCACTAATATTCATGCAGGATTGAAGATGCAAAAATATAATCCATTTTCAACATAATCTGGTGTTGTCTTAGGCTGACTTTCACTGCATATTACCCAGGCATCTTCACTCAGCTGTCTTTAGGGTCTTCCGGCCTTTTAAGCTGTGATAACAAAGGATGTAATTGCCATGTAGTCATTGATTTTTAAAATAGATTTTATGTAAACTACAAATAATTGTTGCATGAAAAATTTGGAAAAACACAATTTTATGTCCCTCAAACATTCAGCCCTTCAAGAACATACAGAATCTGAATATGCTTGCTAGCTTACAGTCTTGAAATCTGTCCTTGAGGAAAGCATGCAATGGTCTATGTGTGCCCATGGGACCCACACAGTGTTAATGTTAGAAATCATATAATATAAAATGTGTACTTTAAAACAGTTACAGTCCCTGAATTTATATAATCCAAATACTGTATAATTAACTGATTTGCATCTGAACAGCTACTTGATGCAATGTCTCCTGTTTAGAAAGCGTCCTTAAATTATAAGGTAGTTGCTGTAAACAACACACAGGTATGGTTAAAAATCTCGTTTTCCCTCTGTGGTTTAGGCAGTGTTGTTGTAACCTAGAAGAGAGGAACCTGCTAATTTTGATTATAATCTGTTTAATTTAGTTATTTACTGGAATAACAGCTTATGTGGACACAAAATGAAAAGACTCAATGGTATTTTCTTAACGGCCTTATTATGTGAATGGTAATTGCAATGAAATAAAAGCCTTTTGGAGTATGGTGGGAGCAACCAGCATTCAGCACCTGAAGACTCGTACCCGGCATACTGGCCCCATCATTTACTACCCATGTGGCCTTACCAGTTACTTCCTTCAATGAAATTCAGTTTCCTTCTCTGCAGAATGAATAGGTTAAGCTAGAGGATCTCTGTTAGGTCCCTTCTAGGTCCATAAGCCTAAGAGGCATTTGCATGGCCCTTCAAAAGCAACTGTGTTTTTTTTTTCTTTGTGTTGCAATTTTGCATAGACTCCCATTTATCTTTCCACTACTTCCTTATACTAACAATTTCCTGTAGAGTTTGGGAGAAACTTGGAGTTAGTGAGGTAGATAGTGAGTACAGAAATGTATCTTTAGCTGTGATCTCACTGACCAAAATTGGACTGGATCCTAAATTTAAGTTCTTATCGTAGCCCCCAAGATGCCTGCCTTGGACACGACATGGCGTAGTCTTGAAGCCAAGAAGAATTGACTTCATATTCTACCCCTGATTTTTATACCCTCCATTTTCATCCTGTTTTGTGGTCATTTAGCCTCTGAATGCCCCCAGATAATGCTCTGTGAATATAAGTTATATGCCATTAACTTATTTACATTAAAGAGCAAGTTTCCACATCAGGAGTTCCCTTTCCCTTTCTTCCCCCTGAAAAAAAAAATTAACTTTGACTACAGGTTTACCATCATTTTACCTTAGCCTGTAGTCCTGCTGAGAGTTGTTGGTTTGGAAATTCTCTTGTGAATCTGAGTCAATTGTTCAATTAACCAGTTATTTAATTATGAAACAATTTGCATAAACATATTTTGGAGAAAGTATTGTTTTTAGAAAAGGGCAAAGGTCAAACAAGTCTTAAAAGTAACGCTTATGAAGTATCCTTTCTCTTGCTTTGCTTACAATTAGTCCCTGATACTTACTGGGTCCCCAGGGGTACCTCTACTATCTAAGGTGCTTAGGGAAACACACTAAAAAAAAAGAAACATGACTCTTGCCTGTTATAGTTTTAGGATCAGTAGATGTCATCGTTGCATCATAACGTGCAGCATTAAGCATAACCCTGTTTAATTCTTAACACTTCTTTAATTTTTGTCCAATGTCCTGTACATAGTAGGCAGTTGGCATTGTTCAGTCATTTTCAGTCATGTCTGACTCTTCGTGATCCCGTTCAGGGTTTTCTTGGCAAAAATACTGGGGTGGTTTGTCATTTCCTTCTCTAGCTTATTTTACAGGTGAGAAACTGAGACAAACAGGGTTAAATGACTCACCCAGGGTCAGCGTCTGAGGTCAGAGTTGAACTCAGAAAGATGAGTCTTCCTGACTCCAGGCCCAGTGCTCTATCTACTGGGCCACCTTGCTGCCCCAGGCAACTTTTGCTAATAAAGGATATTCTTTTAGAATCCTGACTTTAAAACTTTCCATTTTGGCTTCCTGCAGTGAAAGTAAGGGTGGAGATCTTGCTACAATTTTTTGTTTGAGCTTTTAACATTATAGAAATCCATTTTTTTTTCATTTGTTTAGGGGGATGGAATACTGAATAGCAACATGGGTCAAATCCTATTGCCCTAGTTCAGATTCAGTCAAAGGGCCACACCTAACGGGGCACACGTCTCCAGGCCACAGGTTTTCCAGCCCTGCTCCTGGGCTATACCTCTGAAAAATTGCTCTAAATTGCTCTGATTTTTTTTCATTGTGTTAAGATAACATTGTATTATATATGGCTTTTAAAAATTACCCTTTTGGGGCAGCTAGGTGGCACAGTGGATAGAGCACCGGCCTTGGAGTCGGAAGGACCTGAGTTCAAATCCGGCCTCGGACACATAACACTTACTAGGTGTGTGACCCTGGGCAAGTCACTTAACCCCGATTGCCTCACCTAAAAAACAAACAAACAAAAATGACCCTTTATTGGGGGCCTAGAAAACCTCTTTTAAAAGCAAAACAAACAGAACAAAATTTTCATTGTGCCTTACGCATATTCATCATAAAAAGATTTGACCTATTCACTCTAGGCTTTTTTACACCACTTAATTTTCTAAGGGTTTTTCCTATTATTAAAAATACAGTGTGATTCTCTCTTTATTTCTGAAATCAATTTTTTTCCCTTAAACACAACCAGAAATTGGCCTAATGGTGCTAAGATATTTCAAAATGGAAGATTAATGGTCTAATGAAGAAGCAAGCAAATGTGTGATGAAAATGGTCATAGTTAATATATGTTATAAACCAACATGCATCGTTATCAAGACTGCCAATGCATTTCATTAAGTTGCTATAGTTTCCCACAAAGGTGATGTGACTATGCCTTGAGACAAAGGACAAAATGTGGCAAATGGATTTTTGATCCAGAAGGTGGGGAATATGACCCTTAAGATTTTATGTTCATCTTTATTAAGTAACATTATGTAAGCGACTTTAACTTCTGTGCCACTATTCATCTGCAAAATAGAGATAATACCCTTCTTGCTGAATTGTTACGAGCAAGAATTAATAAGGAATATTGAAACTTTATAGAATCAGTGTTAATTAATCTCTTGATACTGAGAGACAATAAATGAATTCTAAACAGCAATCTGGATGAGGAACTCATTTCTGTTTCTGGTGTATTCCAATATTTGAATGGGATTGAGTGATATGTGGTGTTGATCAAGCTCATGGAACTGAAGTGAGCTCATTTGTGCTGTTGTAAAATGTAAATCCATCATTCACAAGGCAGATGCCTTCGTTGTTTTGTTCTGTTTTTTGACTTCTTAAAAATCAACCTTGGTTTTAAAATCAGCATGCTGCTATCATGTTTTATTGCCTATCTCAAGGTTCTATAGTTTCATCATTGTAGCTCTGGTCCCCATCAATTCAGATTGTAATAATGACTGACTCTAATGTTGGCCATATGCTATAGCTAGCTCATACCGGCTCATAGGAATCAGTTAATTTTTTTTGAAAAGAAGGAAATTTTTATTGGTATCTTGTTTTTTTACATCATCATAGTTATTCCCAGTGTCCCTTCTAGAGGGATATCCCCCCTAGAGAGCTATCCCATATGATAAATAGTATTTCTAGGGAGGAAAAATCAACACAGCTAATCAATACATAGAAAAAAAAATCTGAAATGTGTGATGTATAACATTTGTGGGCCTTCTATATCCATGAAGTAATGGGTTGGGACATTAGTTGTTGCATTTTCAATATACCTTGGAAATCAGCAAATGATGCAAAGCAGGGCTTGATTTCTTGTTTGGTTGATTGTCTAAACTTCAGAAAGTTATGAAGAATACTTATGAGTATCACATATATATATTCAGAGAACTGGTTACTAGGCAATTTTCAGTATATTCTCGACTGATGTAGGCTTTCAGAGTTGCAAAGAACCTTCTAATACCTGTGAGCTTTACTATAATCCTCTGAGGAAGGTACCTATTTTACAGAGGAGAAAACTGAGGTCCAAATAAGTTAAGTGACTTGATATTTACAAGTGGTAGGTTAAGGATTGAGCCTATGCATCTCTCACTTCTAAATTGAACAGCCATTCCATTGTACCACACTATCTCTCACGCGAAGGCCTGGCTTAGAATGAGCATTTCTGAAGTTGCTGTTAACACAAAGAAATGGAACCCAAAGAACACAAAATAAAAATAAATCCCTGACCTTTGTAAATTTAGCAACGTATACAATCCATCCCTGGGCCTTTACTTAAGACTTTTTCAACTCAATAGAACCTGGCTAATCACCTGTGATGTACTGGCATAACTTACCTTTGAGACCCCAGAAACATACCACATTGAGGCCTCCAGCAGAGACGTATTAGTCTTCCAGAAATAGTCTTTTGATCTGCTGGACTTAGTTCTTGTAACATGCATGAATTCCTTTTGTATCTTCTGTTTTTAACACAAATTCTATATGAAACAGGCCCTCAGAAAATGTATATTGTCGTTGCTGTTGTGTTCTTAACATGTATCCTTTATTTTGCAGTTACCTATGGCAGATCCCATTAACCATTGCAGTAGGAAATCGGAGCCATATCTCATCAGAGATAATTATATGGGTGTGTAACAAATCAGGTAAAGATATCCTTCCTCTGTGGGTTTGTGCGTGAACTGTTTCTCTAGGTTTGACTATGGATAACAATTTAGGTGCTAGGAATGTGGGGCCAAGTATCAGGAAAATAAGGGGAAGACAACAAGTTTTGAAAGTTGAGAGAAAGGAAGGAAAGCATGTTTGTCCACTAAATTAGAGGGAACGATGAAAAATCTCCTTAAAGAAAGATTTTTTAAATCAATAAATGTGTTGAGTGTACATGAGAGGCAGCATCAGGTAGGGAGATAGAGGGTGGACCTTGGAATCAAGAAGAGCTAAATTCAAGTCCTTCTTCTGAAGAATACTAAGTAGGTGGCCTGAGGCAAATCACTTAACTTCAAAGTTTCACCTTACTAATTTGCAAGAATGGAGGGAATTTTTCCACTGGGAAATACACATTTATAAATTTTAGTTAGATTCAAGGTACTTTGGGAGGGAGGGTATTAGTAGCTGGGGGAATGTGGGAAGATTTTGTGTAGAAAATGTTCATAAAGGGAAAGAAGGCCTCATTGAGGTAAAAGGAGTACTTTCCAGGCATAGGGGGCCAGCTAACAGTGCACAGACACAGAGATAGGAGAGGAGTGTTCATTCTGATTTACAGAGATAAGGCCAGTTTGGCTAGATGGCAGAATTCGGGAAAGGGAGTAATGTTCAGTGAGACTAGAAAGATAGATTGGATCCACGTTGTTTTGGGTTTTCATAATTAAACAGAGGGATTTATATTTCACCCTAGAGACAATAGAAAACAAAGGAGTTTATTGAGGAGGGGTGTCCGATCAGGCTTTAAGGTAAATCACTTTGGCAGCATTGTGGAGGATGGAATAAAGTGAAGGTAAACAAGTAAACCAATTCAGAGGCTTGTAGCAATAATCTGGGTGAGAGGTGATGAGGATCTGGACTAGGGTGCTAGTTGAGTGATTAGTGAGAAAGGATTGGATGCACTAGATGCTGTTGATTAAAAGGCAAGGTTTGGCAATGAAATATATATGGTGAGAGAGAGTGAGGAGTCCAGGTTAATTCTAGAGTTTTAAACCTTGGATACTGAGAAGGTGATGGAGCCCTTGACAAAAACAGTGATGTTTGGAAGAAGTGAATGTTTTAGAAAATTATAATGTGTTTAGTTTTAGAGTGGTTCAATTTGAGATGCCTTTAGAATACCTAGTTTGAAATGTCCATTAGGGTGTCAGGACTGAAGCTTAGGGGAGTGACCCTGAGTCATTTTCACATTAATGATCGTTAAACTCTTGGGAACTGTTGAGATTACTAAGAAAGAGTAAAGAGGGAGGAGAGAAGAGGACTTAGGATAGAATCTTGGGGAATACTCACAGTTAGGGGATATTATATGGATAATGGTCCAGCAAGAAGACTGAGGAGTGGCTTTTTGGTAGAGATGCAAATAAATGTTACATTTACTCAACAAAGATTGAGCATGTATTCTATAAAAAGTATGTACATACTTACTCTGAAAAGTCAAGAGAGGCCTGCCCCATTGCAAAACTCCTTTTAACTCTCTCTTAGATTAGATAAAGTAGAACCAGAATAGATTAATGTAATGAAAACCTTGACCCTCAGTTTCCCCATCTGTAAAATGATGATAATGATGCCTATAGAACTTCTTCAAAGCATTGTTTGAGGATTAAATGACACATTGTGTATAAAATGATTTGTAAATCACTTAATCACACAGGGATTTTGTAAATCTTATAGTGCTATCCTTCTACCAGGGTAGATGGGCAACTAATTAGTTACTTCTAACTAATAGTTGCCTGGAATACTGAGAGTTTAAGTGTCCAGAGTCACAAAATAAATATGTGTCAAGAGGCAGGTCTTAAACTCAGGTCTTTAATGGCAGCCTTATAGCTACTACATCATATTGCTTTTCTAAGCCATATACATATACATACGCATATGCATATACATATATACATATATGTATATATACATGCATATATTTAATATTATTGCTATATAAGAGAATTTATTAGATTATTATCTTTGATTTATTTTTAAGAGCTTGCCATCAAAATTTAATGTGTTGAATCAAGGTTGTAAGCAGGTATGTGTACTGTGTTTATCAATCAAAACTGAGTGTTTTCTTTGACTAAGTGTTTTCTGGGTAGTTTTCTTGGTTTGTACTGAAATGACCAATAAGAAGTTTATTTTTTTTTTAAAACAGATCAAATGCCTTTGGAAGATATCTCTTAGTATAGATTCCCCTAACCAGCTTGAATTAGGTCAGTAGTTGAAAATAAAGGTAGATTTTCCCATTGGAAAATTAATGAAGAGAGTAGCAGAAAGAGGGCTGCAGAAGTTGAGACATGTCCAGCATGGAACCTTGACCTGAAAAGAGTCGGGGACCTCCAAAAGAGTTTGATTCTTTTAGTTATTCTTTCTTATTTTCCTCTTCTATTGGTTCTGAGAATCAAATTCTCAAGGAATTCCTTTATCAAGAATAATGTTTTTGTTTGTTTTTGCTTGGGGGAGGGGTTTGGACTTCTGACTTCTTTCGTACATGGACTTCCCAATGCGTCAATTCCCTCCATTGATGCAGATTGACGATTTTTCTGTTACTTATCATCTTACAGTGTTGGCTTGAGATTAAGGGATTTGTCCGTGATAAAGTATGTGTAAGAGGCAGATCTTGAGCCTGGATAGATGTAACTCCAAGGCTGGCCCTCTATTCACTACGTCATGTTGCTTCTCAAATAACAATAGTAGCTATATTGGTTTAACACATGATGGTTTGCAAAGTTCCTTAGGTGTATTATCTCGTTGGATCCCCACAGCAACCCTAGGTACAGAAGGCAAGTATTATCCCTATTTTATAAATACATAAAATGATTACCAGAGAGGTTAAGAAATTTGCCCATGGTCACATAGCTACTAAATGGCACAGCTGGGATTTCAGTCTAAATATGTTGACTCTTAAGTTCAGCTGTTCCTTCTGCTCTACAACATGAATTACTTTTAGACTCATTTTTTTTTTTTGGTATAAAATCTTATGCTCATTGCCTTCTCCAAGTATTTGATCTAGAGAACTTTCACTAGCCTCAAAGTTTGACTTACGTAGCAAACAGAAGTAGGTTGTGGTTTTGAATGATCAACAGTGGCTATTTCCCTTTCATGGTTATTCTATTCTATTATTTATATTATATTTATCATATCATTTTATATTTTATTTGAGAATATGGAAAAATATGTTTGAAGAAAAATATCACCGAATAGCTACTTGAATCATCTTTGAAATGTAGTGTCAAAAACGTGTATTTCTTTGAAATATCTTACCTAGGAATAGGAAGAATAGTTTTGCTATTTAAAAATTGCCTAGTGGAAGGCTTACCATTATCACTGTCATTAATTTTTTTAAAAAAAGGCAACATGACCCAATCAATACAATGCTGAATTCAAGATGACCTTCCTTCAACGTCTGCCTCTGACACTGACTAGCTTTGTGGCCCTGGGCTAGTAATTTAATTTCTGTGCACCTCAGACAACTTCCCTAGGACCTATCCATTAAGTCTTCAGCCTTATCTTGGTGAAAGGGAGTTTCTACAATGGGAGTTACCTAAGCTGCCAGAATCATAATTCCTGAGTGCAGCTAATAATTACATAGGGCTTTGAGGTTTGTCACATGCTTTACTTAATTTTCTCTTTTTATTCTCACCACAAATCTGTGTGGTATAGGTACTAGAGGTATTATTATCCTTAATTTACAGATGAGGAAACTAATACATGACGTTAAATGGTTGGTGTTGAGTTCACTTAGCTAGGAAGTGTTTTAGGAAGGATTTAAAACTGGGTCATTCTGATTTCAAGTTTAACACTCTTTCCATAGAGTGCAAAGCAAAGGGGATATTGCTTTGAGGTGTAAATTTGAATTGTTAATCACCAAAACTGTCCAGATCTGGTGGCTAATGGTGGAGAGAATCCAGAAGAAACATTGGAAGAAATACTGTCTTGCCTGTAGGTTCACCTGTTTTAAGAGCAATCACTATGATTGCATCACACACACACACACACACACACACACTCAGCAATCTACAGTGAGGATTAGAAAACCTTGCACCTTTTCTTTTTTTTTTCTTCTTTTTTTGCTTTCTCACGTTCTCTGAAAAGAACAAAGCAGGTCATTTATACAAATAATGGTTTTAATTGACTCAAAAAGGCAAAATTAATGCCATGGGAATATTCTTTAAAAAGAAAGGTTGGAAGATATTTTCTTAGTCAAGATGAAGGCAGGAATTTCTTTTTAAATCTCCTTTATTATTGTATATTTTTCAGATCTCATTCAAAGAGAAAGAAAAATTATACATATCAATTACAATGCCAAAAACAAATTTAATCAAATGTGGCCATTTCTGATAGTGAGAATTCATTAAGAAAATCAATAAGGCCAAGCTATTTTTTTAAACTTACCTGAGGTGTATATTTGATTTGAAGCATTATATTTTTGAACAATGGGATTTTAAGATAATTTTTAATAACATCCTTATTGAAGAGAAGAATTAGAAAAAAAAAACTTTTAAAAGAAAATCCAGATTGGATAAAATGTGGATAATTTTAGCTCCAAAGAAAATTTTATTTTTCAAGCTTAAGTGTAGATTTAGGTCAAACCATTTAAAAAAAAGCTTCATTGTTGCCTTCCTACCATAAATTTGATGGTAAGTGAAATATATATACATTAATATATTCAGTGTCTAATTTCTTGACTGTTTAATTGCCTTACCTCTACAAATGGTTAAAGGGATTGGAAAAATTTAAAGGGACTATATTTGGGATTTAGGAGACACAATACTGCTATACTTCCCATGTGACCTTGAACAAGTCAATTTATCCCTCTCTGTTTCAGTTCCTTTCTGTATAGAATTAGGAAATCCCAGCTCTAAAATTCTGTGATTATAAAAAGTCCATTTGTATGGAAGGGAGGCATCAATTGTATTCTCACAGTGAGACAAAAAAGTTCTGTTGAGTATGACCATGGAAA